GTTCCAATTGCCTCACGGAGCAACCATCCTCCTGTTTCAGGTTTGTGTACTCTCTCCTTTTGAGATTGACTTCAAAAGTTGAGTAGTACTGATTATAAAACTCCACTTCGAATTTCTCCCAAGTGGCCTCACCGTGGAACTTTCCTTCCACGCCTTCCCACCATACCGCAACTACCCCTTCTAGTAGCCTGCTGGCAACCCTCAACTTCACGTCGAGTCCAATTTGCATATCCCTAGAAGCATCATTCAGCTTTTTAATCCAGTCGGCGGCCTCAGATATGTCGCCCTTGCCATCAAATGATTTGCACCCCAAGGCCCTGGCCTCCTTGAGGTACTTGGAGATACGCACCATCGTGTCTCCCCCAAATGCTCCAGATGGAGCACTAGAAGCACCTCGGCTTCCCTGCCACATGGTTTGCCTAGCCTGTCTAGCTTGGCGCCGCTGCTCTCTCTTTGCTTTATTCTCAAGGTACCATTCTAGTACCTCACTCATGCGGTCATAATGAGGATCATCATCCTCATCTTCTTCCTCAAAGTCCTCCCCGTTGTACGGGGTCTCCTCTTGCTCCGTGCTTGGAGCATATGTGAAATCGTCCGGTTCGGTGGCCCAAGACGGGTGCACAGAACCGACACGTGTGCTACTTGCCGTCGGCGTTGTAGAACGCCCACGACCCCTGCCTCGGCCTCCTCCTCGGCCTTGGCCCCGGCCTCTACCCCTAGAGGTCCGTGATTCAGCCCGTGTATCGTGCTCGGTGGCCCCCGGTGCACGACCCATCGGGTTCCTCCTAGTAATCCTGCGTCCACCCTCCATTTCTGAAAGAAATAAGGAATGAGTCATTAGACTCGTTTCAATGTCAATTGACGGATTAGTACAAAAGACATCCCTTGGTCCAACATTATGGCCAACAAACTGTTAAGGGTACCGTCTTAACAATAAGAGGTCAATAACTTGGTTTCCAACGGTTCCTTAAGTACAAAACTGTTGCTCATGGTTTTATTCAAAACTTTTTGAGGATAACCATATTGAGAGGTTAATTATATAGTTTAGAAATCGATGGCTCTGATACCACTTAATTGTCACGCCCCGGACCGCATCCGAGCCACGTAGACAACCGCCGTACAACCCGATAAGAACAACAACAGTTCATCCCTATTGAATTGTACAAGGCGTCCGATTGATTCTATTGCCAAACCGATTAGTAAACACATACAATCAACATCAATATCATAATCAAACAAATGCGGAAATAATAATATGTTTGATTCTTAGCCACACGTGGCAAACACGGGCACGCAGGCCCCCAACTGTTTTAATGAAAATATTGTTCAAAAATCCATGAGCAGTTTATATATTTGAAATAAGAATGGAAGCACGAACCACGTCTTCCTTATTGGTCAATCACCCTAGGAAAAGGTGCAGGTAGTAGGACTCTAGCCTCAACCTGAAAAATGTGAGGGCCCCCGGAGGGGTCAGTACTCCATAGAAGTACTAGTGACAAGCAGGCTATATGAAGAATAACTAATGTTTCAGACACGAGACCCAAAAATAGGGTGATACATATATATATATATATATATATATATATATATATATATATATATATATGACTCATTCATCCGATGATACATACTGTATATATATATGTAAAATACTCGACCTGTAGGTCATTTCATTCAAAGAGTCTTTTAGAGATAAAGTTCTTACCTGACCTTTCTCACCCTTTTCCCGAATGCTTAGCTCACCAGCTACATTCTACATTTTTAATATCCTACCGAGTTTTGGGAGCACTTAGCATCCCGGGGATACTCAACCCCAACCGAGTTTCAGGATCATTAAATGTTCCGGGGATGCTCAACCCCAACCGAGTTTCAGGATCATTTGCAGTCCCGGGGATGCTCAACCCCAACCGAGTTTCAGGATCATGTATAGTCCCGGGGATGCTCAACCCCAACCGAGTTTCAGAATCATTTAATGTCCCGGGGATGCTCAACCCCAACCGAGTTTCAGGATCATTTATAGTCCCGGGGATGCTCAACCCCAACCGAGTTTCAGGATCATTTGCATGTCCCGGGGATACTCAACCCCAAACTAAATCCTTACCAAACCCTAACCTGGATATGGCTAACTTTTCGTTCCTTCAACTATGTACAATACCTAGCCCTATAGTCATATAACCATCCTTAGGAACCAATGTGGGCGGGTCCCACCTGAACAGCCCACATTAACCCGCTCAAAACTGCCCGTTTTGAGCATAAACCAATACTCGATCGAGTATCTACCCATACTCGGTCGAGTACAGGAGGCGGTAGCCCCCAAAGCTAATTTTCCATGTATACTCGATCGAGTATCTACCTATAATCGATCGGGTATAGGAGACAGTAGCCCCCTGGACAATTTTTCAGCAAATACCCGGTCGGGTATGTGTCAATACCCGGTCGGGTATGGCAGTTGACTTGGCGGTCAACGCCCCTTTTGACCCCCCAAACGGAGTCCGATTAACTTGAAATTTTATACACATATACTTCTTGATGTCCTTGATCCAAAAATACCATTTTGGATCCCTGGATCATCACACAAAATATGTTATCACATTTTTAATCACCAAACCTACATAACATGCTTTTCAACTATGTTTTATGCAAAATCATGGCATAAGCAAATACTTGATTATCTTTAATCATTCCACAAAACATATCCTTGATTACTTTAGGTAATCTCATGCCTCACGCAAAAGTTATAAAGCATAAAGCCATCTTCTCACCTTAATGAAGCTTATGAAGTTCTAGCCTTCCCGATTTAGCTCCGGCGAACTTCGACGAACTCCGGCGACAACTCCGGCGACCCTTTCAACTCCGTGAAAGTCCCTTGAATACCTTAGACAAGTTACTAACAAGGTTTTATCATCATAAAACCCATAGTAATAGAAATAACCCCCAAAAGGTTATTTTCCGGCGAACCGGTTACTTTGGCTTCTAAGTCCGTTCTTGGACTTAGAACCACCTTTCAACCCTTCATTCTACACTTCCAAACGTGTAGAACAATCCTAGGGTGTGAAATATGATTGAATAGTCATATAAGAGTATTAAAGAACAAGAAATGGGATTAATGGAGTCCTTACCTTGCTAAACACGAGTTTTCCTTTCCAAAACCAACTTTTCTCTTCTCTTTTCCCTTCCTTCTTCCTCCCCTTGCTTTGTGCAAAAATGGTGGATGAAAATGGAGTTTTAGCAGAGCTTCTATCCCTATGATTGAGGTCTGGGTCGAGTGGATGAGGTGTGGGGGGGGGGGGGGGGGGGGGTGAGGATGGTTCCTTCTTTTGGCTCATTCATAATAATGTGGGAGGAGGGTCCCTTTCCTTTCTCATCTTGTCTCTCACTCATCTCCAGACTCAATCAGCAGCATTAGGTGCGGATCCCTTTGACATTTGCAGCACCAAAATCGTGGGGTGGCCCCCACTCATGTGGGAGTTCATCCCTTTATGTTCCCAAGTGTACAATCGGTCCCGAAAGTTGTATTTTCCGGACTGTTTTAAGTATATTTTATTTTATCGGGTCAAATAAAATATAACCCTTGTTCCCAATCCTTATTGGACCTTAGAATCAATATGCATTCCCCAACTTTAATTTAGAAGTCTCCGAAATCCCTTTTCGGGCTGTTATCTAATAAATTGCCGATACTGATAATTTGGCCCCGTTTGACCAACCGGTCAACCCTATGCCATTGTCATGGCTCAATTAGGATATCCACCACCATATACATATTATCTAGTCCAAGATCAATATAATATGTGGTCCCGATAATATCGGGCGGCCCCCACCTCCGATGTGGGCCCCACGTGAATTTTACTATTCACGCAAAAGAAATGATAAAAAATTACAATCACGTAAACAAGCTTTTATACATTTCTCAGGGTTCAATACATAATTCGATGAAGTACAAATACTTGGGGGCGGTGTTACAAATTAAATATAGCTTTTGTTCATTTTTAGATGCACAATTATTTTTGAAGATGAATAGTGTCCATTTTTTGTTTTATCCGTAAAATACATCCCTACTATTTAACTAATTGTGAAATTATTTAAAATCAAGCATGAAGGGACCGTAAAACCAAGTATGTAATCTTAATACTCCATATTTGATATAGCAATAAGTATATAGATAGTGAAGAACCATTGAATTTAATTTATAAATCAACAACAACGTTTTGATAAAGCAAGTTCCAACAAAAATCCAATAATCAAAACTCTAAATTTAAATAGAAGAAGAAAAACAAGTTAATGAAATAACGAACAAGTTAATTAGCTCTTTCACAATTTACGAATCAATAATTCAACATCCGAAAAATATTTTTATATATATATATATATATATATATATAGATGTTTGAAAATTTGGGCCCCTAATTTTTTAACTTTTTTGAGCCCTAAGGCCTATGCTTCACTAGCTTCAACGTAAAGCAGGACTCTGATTATTATCAATGTTGATCTCTTTGAAGTTGTTGTAACGATCTGAATAGTAATGATATTAATATAAACGGTTTCCGCTCTCAAAAAATAGATTCAATACACGTCTAATACCATACCCTCATTTATTAGATGAGTGAAGTAACATACCAAAAGCAAAACGCTCATTATTATGTTTCATTTTCGGAGGTCCTAGTGGGAAAAGGTAAATACTACCTCCGTCCCAAAAAGAGATGCAAATTTGACTTTTCTTAGTCAAACAGTCTCGTTTTGTTCACTTAATTTGGATGTCAATTTTTAATTATGTTCTAATTTGAGGTTTACAACTTTGAAGATATTTTAATGTAGTTTATGAATATGTAAATTTTAATTATTAAAAATTGAATTAATTATCCATACGGAGGGTTGACTTTTATTATTGATTGACCAAAAAATGTTGACTTTGTAAAACAAATTGGGACGGAGGGAGTACCAAATTATTGGTTACTTTACTTGCTTAACGTGTAAAGAATATGAGCTATGAGTTTTGGCGGATTGGGAGAAGTTGTAATAAAAGTGAAAAGTAAAAACCATGTGAAAGGAAAAGGAAACATGGGACTAGGCAAAAAAGCTCCAAAGTGGGGGAGGCATTCAGCCATCAGACGCACCAACTTTGAAAAGCTCCAAACCTTCAGCGTCAAAATCTGTTTATTTGGGGAAAATATTGCAAACGGGAGCGAAAAGCGGAGAGAGCCTTGTATTGATTGCCACATTTACCTCTTACCGCACTTTCATTCATCCCTTCCAAATCCGTATAACTGCAAACGCTATTTTTTTTGTTTTGAATTCGGCATCATAAGCTTTCGAAAAGTTTCAATTTGATCGCCAACGGATCAGCTTGGAGAAGAAGAAGAAACTGCGGGGGTTTGATTCGGATTCGGATTCTGCGATGTCGTGTTCATCGTCATCTTCCGCGTCGGAGGAGGAGGATGAGGCAATGGATTCTTACAGGAAGGGGGGGTACCACGCGGTGCGTGTCGGCGATTCCTTCTCCGGCGGGCGGTACCTCGCGCAGCGGAAGCTCGGTTGGGGAGAGTTCTCCACTGTCTGGCTCGCCTATGATACTAAAACATCAGTACGCGCCTTTCCTGTTTATGATATTGATCGATTCTTATTGGCTCATTTCTTGCTTGTGTAGGACGCATCCTTCCTTGATCTAGTTGAGATCTTGCTCCTTTAATTTTTGTCTGGCGATGGTTATCCAATTGGATCAGACATTAAATAGGAATGTAATGAGCAGGTTTCCATCAGAACATATTAATTCCTAATTTTAATTTATTTGTGAGGAGTATATTTGACTGCCGTTGTGCCAGCACTAATTACAATGTATTGGAATACACCCGCCTTGTGTGAGTTAATTTCTAACTAGGATCATCAAGCTGATGCTCCCCGGGCAGACCACTATTCCTTGGGATAAGGAAGTCTGAATACACAGGCACAACCACACAAGTAGAGTATACGTGAAGCTAATAGAACTATAAGAGGGACATATTAATAACAACAGTTCTAATTTTGCAACTTAGTCAATTGAAAGTTTATATGCTATGCAGAATTCATAATCCATATATCAAGTATGTTTCAGGGTCTTTTTGTTCACAATCTTTGGAATTTAAGCTATTCTTTTCAATAATACCTTTTAATTATCCAATACCATTCCTTTCCATCTTAAGTAAATCAAACTTTGTATTATTAATGGACTTTTAAACTCGGATGGTTAACAGCATGAATTGAACTAATTTTTTGGTGACTTGAATGTGATTTACAATCTTCCATAGGTCTCTTATACTAAAGAAACAGAAACATGAGATCAATATTGACTGATCTCCATTTAGCATCAGGTGGTAATCATGTTCTTTCTGATTGTATAACTACTAGACATATGTAGCTCTGAAGATTCAGAAGAGCGCACCACAATTTGCCCAAGCTGCTCTCCATGAAATTGAAGTCCTCTCTGCTATTGCTAATGGTGACCCCTCAAATAGTCACTGTGTGATACGGCTGATCGACCATTTTAAGCACACTGGCCCAAATGGACAGCATCTCTGCATGGTTCTTGAATTTCTTGGCGATAGCTTGCTACGACTAATCAGATATAACCATCATAAAGGCCTCGAATTAAACAAAGTTAGAGAAATATGCAGGTGCATCTTGACTGGTCTAGATTATTTGCATAGAGTACTTGGAATTATACATACAGACTTAAAACTCGAAAATATATTGCTCTGCTCCACGATTAATCCCACCAAAGATCCAATAAAATCTGGACAGTCTCCCATTCTTGAGAGGCCCGAGGGGTTCTCAAATGGGGGAGCAACCATGAACCTCATTGAGAAAAAGCTAAAACAAAGGGCAAGGAGTGCTGCAGCCCGGTTATCTGGAAGACGCTCTTCAATGGTTGAGGGAACAAACTCAAAGCCCACTAGATCTCTTGAGGGGATTGATTTAAATTGTAAAGTTGTGGATTTTGGTAATGCATGCTGGGCTGACAAGCAGTTTGCAGAAGAAATTCAAACAAGACAGTACAGAGCCCCCGAAGTAATATTGCAATCTGGGTATTCTTTTTCGGTTGATATGTGGTCATTTGCTTGCACTGCATTTGAGCTTGCTACTGGTGAAATGATGTTCACTCCTAAGGCTGGACAAGGTTTCAGTGAGGATGAGGTATGTCTTTTTCCTGCTGTTCATTCACCTTATTGGTACAAGTAGAGCACCTACTTCCGTTTTTTCTGGATGAGGTTTTTTCCTGGGGTGGGTGAAGAAATAACATAATAGGTGACGTATAACATTCCAAAAATGCCCTACTCTTGTTTATAGAACAATTTCAGTTACCTAGATACTAGTATATACTAAGCCCTCCACAGCCCTCAATCCAAACTTGCCAGTTCACTTTGGAATTTCGGATCAAGTTTTTTTGGAGGGGGGGGTGAAGGACTATGGATATTTATCTAATATATTTGCAAAATTGCAGTTATATGAAAATTGAAGGAATAACATTATAGTTAATAAAATAATTCACTATTTGCTTTAAGAATCATTTTATTTAATAATTTATCAAAATATAAATCAAGGCCCCAAAGCTTTCCCTCCAAAGCCCTCCTTTTAAAGTGAACCTTAGGCCCTATTTAATTAGTTCTGGAATGAGGCTAATATAATTAAAGAGTTTCTGGAGGAGTGTTTAGTTAAAAGTTAAGTTTCAATTGTGTGCTATGTACTTGCTCTTCACAAAACCACAACTAATCAATTGCAATGGTTCAAATTTAGGTGGGAATTAATTTGGAGGGTCGGGTGAAGGATTGTTAGGGGGGTGCATTTAATGTAATTATTTCCCCTCATAAACACTTAATTTGAAACCAACATCATTTACTGTAGCAAGGCATTACTTCATATGCAATTAAAGGTATTTGAGGAAGAAAGTTTGGCAATAAATAACCATTCTCGTCGTATCTGCCAGTAATCTACACCATAAGTACAATATATAATTGTTTTTCCTCTAGCTTTCTTCTTGGTTCAAACTTGTTTTCTTAATCCACTTTGGGATCTAAGCGAAAAGGGAAAGTTTTGTTTGCTTTATGGCATCAGGTGCAAAGAGACTGATTCATTTTCATTTTCATTTACCCCAGTGCCGCAAAGGCTCCCACCTACGGTGGGGTAAGGGGGTCGGATGTACGCAGTCTTACCCCTGCACTAAAGCAGAGAGAGTCTGTTTCCGGATGACCCATTGTGAAAATCGCGTCAAAAATTGCATGGACTGACTGCTGCTTCATAACAAAGAAGCGCAGATAGTTTAGTGAGTCATTTTGCTTTATTCCATCATAATCTCAAGCCAAAAAAATAATGAATCTTTGGCTCCATTGCAAATGATGCAAAGAGACTGATGAATTATAAAAAAAAGACCGATGAATTTAAATCTAACATCACTGAAGTATGCTTCCATGTGTAATGGATGTTGGAAGGGGACACCTCACCCATGGGGAGTCTGAAGCAGTGGTGTATCCAGAAATTATTTTTAACGGGAGCGAATTTTGCATTATAATAAACACAATATTTTAAAATAGGCAATAAATAAAGAGTTTTTATTCAACAAAAACATTAATATGTAGCTTTTCATTTCGTCCAAAAATTAGATTCACATTTTTGAGAAGTTTGTATGATTAAAATTTCAATTTATAATAAATATTAGTAAAATTGCTTGTACTTTAGTGAAATTATATTAATAAAAAATAAATTAAACACGAGACGAGTAATGCATGCCATTAGAATAATGTAAATTGAAAATGTACAATATTTTTTTGCATGTAGTGCAATCAGCAATCGTAATATTAGGAGAAAAGTTTATATTATATTATGTGTAGATAAATTTATAACATATTACAAAAACTATAGCAATTGTTTGTCAAAGTGAAGATTGTGATTGTTTGAAACATTTATAAAAGGTTAAGATATGGCTAAAATTAAAACAAATATCGAGATGTTTATTCAAAAGTGCAAAATAAAAATTGAAGTCGCATGGAATTGAACCTACGACTCTAAAGATCTCACATGGTTTTAAGCAAGGCTCTGCTCCAACTCTTCTATAGCAGCTTTTGTTTCATTTCTGCTCTTTAGTTTACTTATATACAAAATTATCACTTTTGTGTGTAAATAAATTATATTTTATAAACATATATATGGGGTTGGTGGGGGTTGAAAGGGGGCAGCTGCCCCCACTACCCCCACACTAGATACGCCATCGGTCTGAAGGTGTGCTGAACGATCTATGGACTGAATAAAAGACAAAACGAAAATATTTGTAGCAGTGACTCCCTGAAATATTTATAATTATTATATAAACAATCGTCCGCTTATGTCCCAAAGAGTGGTATTGCTTGGTAGTTATGGTTCTCTAATTCGTTGGTTTGATTATGATTACTTTTTATGACTTATTAATGCTCCGGTACTCCTTATCCAGATTCACTTACATTTCCCATTAATGTTTTTCCATATATTACTTCCTTTCTGACCTAAAAAAGGTATTATATTCAATGTAGGATCACCTAGCTCTTATGATGGAAGTACTTGGTAAAATGCCCCGGAAGGTTAGCAGCTATACCATACCAACTACTTGATTTATAGTGCTGCTTTTGGAAAATGTGGATGAACATTGTCTAAATTCTCTTGTAATATTTTTGAACAGACGGCAATTAGTGGGGCACGATCTAAAGATTACTTTGACAGACATGGCGATTTGAAGAGGATTAGGAGACTGAAGTACTCGTCTCTGGACAAATTATTAGTGGATAAATATAAACTCTCGAAAGAGGATGGGGCTGAGTTTGCAGAGTTTCTTCGTCCCCTTCTTGATTTTGAGCCAGAGAAGCGGCCAACTGCACAGCAATGCCTTCAGCACACGTGGCTCAATGCTAAAAGTTTTAATCAGAATGAGGTGAGGGATGAATCTCTTATTCAAAAAGTTAATGATGGGATGAGCAGCCTTCAACTTAATATGGGTAAGTGATGGTAGGGATAGATGATTTCCACTGCAGTTTCTCAAGGGAATCTCCACCATTCCTCATTTCCTCCTCTCACCCCATACTCCTCTTGAACGAATAGTGGAGATCTACTGGGAGGAAGAAAGCGGCGGGGGAGGGGGGTACAAGCCCAATTATACCCCCTCTCCTTCACGTGTATAATGATATTATTTGTGAAGTTGTGATACTTTTACGCTCTACTTTTTTTGTAAGATTCAATAAGATCTGATTTATTCATTAGTAGAAAAGGCTTACCTTGGTATTCAATGCTCATCACAGTTGACCCTGAAATTGTAGAATAATGTGAATTTTGGGGTTTTTGATGAACATGTATAGATGGTTCCACATTGATGACATGATAAATGCGATTAAAACCCCTATTTGGGACTCTGCTTGCACACTAAAATATCTGCTCTTGAGAATGGTTATTGGTGTCATGGTGATTAACGTTTTTCTACTTGGAGCTATGTGAGAAGATTCTTGTAGTGTTGGATTCTTTCAATTGAACTTGCCAGCTGCGATGGCTTCTCATTCTTGTTCATTTTTTTCTTTCAAACGGTTCTGCTATTTGAGTGAACGTGCGTGCTAGATAACATAAGTTAGAGAAATCCTAGTTTTAGCTTCCTAACTTTCGGTTGTACATAGTTGTTCTTGTAATTTTACTCGCTTGCATATTTGGTGATGTCGTGTTTTGTGTTGCGCAATTGCCCAACTAAAAATGTTGATACAAAAAATAGAGTTGCCACTTTTAGTCATCTGATTGTTATGTTTGTGACATTTTTATACTCGACTTTGAACTTATCTATTTTTAGTCTTTTGACTACTGTGTAAGAGACACTTTTGATATTTGTTTTTGAGATTTTTCATATTTTGTCCTTCAATTTTCATAAAGTCACACTTTTGATCATTCAACTATAACCATAGTGACATTTTTAGTCTTCCATAGGACTAAAAGTGTCAATTTGACAATACTTGAGGGATTAATGGTGTCTCTCACATAATAGTTATAATAGTTGAAAGACTAAAAATAAAAAAATAAAAATCGAGTACTAAAAGTGTTACCGACACAACTGACACATAGTCGAAGGCCTAAAAGTGTACAAAAAACTCTAAAAATAATATGTATTGAAATAAAAGTGATTAGAACTAAAGATCTTTCCACATTCATGTTTTCCTTTTCACTTGCTGAATACGTGTTTTACCATGATAGTATTAGATAGTGATGGACTCGGGCCGGGTCGGGCCGCCAGTTTGTATGACATGGGCCCGGGACCGGCCCGAGGGTTGGATGGATCCGGTTCGGGCCGGGCCACCCGCCCGGGTCACGGGTCGGGTCCGGTTCGGGCCGGGCCGGTTAAATATTTTTTTTTATAATTTATGTTTTATAGTTTATAGTTTTATACGAGTATTAAAAACAAACTTCAAGTGCATTTATTTGAAATGAAATAGGAACTACATTTGAAAATTAAAACAAACTTTAAGAGACAAACATTTTGAAAATTGTAATCAATCGGAACTTCCCGCACCTCCCGATCCTTTAGCTTTGTCACATGACTTCATATGCTTGATTGTCATCCCGTATCCGCCTGAAACCCCCATGCTACATTTTTTCTCGCACCATTTGGAAATTGCGTACCACATCCCGGTCTTCGGGTTCTTCTGCTTATCAAAATTATACCGTATAATGGCATCTTGATTTTCCATCTTAACTTCTTAAGTATAAACTATAAAGTAGATATATAAATAATAAATATAATATATTGGAGAATAAGAGAATTAGAGAGTAGAGAGTTAAGAATAGGATTTAGGAAGAATTGGAGAAGAGATATGAAAAAATGTTTAAGATTAGGAGTATTTATAGGTTTTTTTACCCCCCACCCCCCACCACCCAACCCCCCCTTTACCCCACCCAACGGCTATATAGCCGTTTGGGTTGTCCCCAGCCCCACCCCCAACGGCTAGTAGCCCACTAGCCAAGACCCAATTTTTTTTTTAAATTAAGACCGGACCCGGGCCCGGGTCCGACCCGGCCGGGCCGGGTCACATTAATCCAGCATCGAGCCCGCCCCGCCCAATCCCACCGGTTCGGGTCCATACATGGTCCCGGACCGCCCGACCGGGCCGGGCTCGGGCCCACACAGTACCAGGCCGGGCCGGGTCACGGGCCGGGTGGCCCGAACTGAATCCAACCCTAGTATTAGATTGCTTAAACACTCAAATACTCGGTAGCCTTTTACCAAAAATCTGCTTAAAGTATGCCGTGAAATAACAACATTATAAAACCAATCGAATGTGTAGTATATACAGATCTATTACATTGTTTCCAACCCGTAAACCTTTAAAAGAGGCAATGTCCTTGATCTACAAAGCATGTGATCGATTCTTTTCCAAACACATGATAGTATTAGATTGCTCAACTTTTGTTAAGACATGAATACTGATGGTAACATGGATCACAATCATGACCCAAGATTGAATTAAGCACATCAACAAGATCAGCCCATCAATCGGGATAAATAATAAATAATAGCCGTTGGGCCTAATTAGGAATCCAACCTGCTAAAGGAACCCACAACCAGACCAGATTGGGCAGCAGACCTCGAGCCTGGGCGGAGTTTTAGCAATGTCGGACTCTTCCTATGGCTTATGTGGCAGATTATCATTCGAGCATAGCTATCTGGCAACGGCAAAAAATAACGGAAGGAACGTGGACCTAAAGAAAACGATTACACAACGTTCGAGATGTTACATGACTCTATTATAATTAATTGCATTGAATGTATCAGTTTTCTCCTAGAATACTACAACTTAAGGTATATAAATACTTCTTGTACACATCCTACCAAGGATCCGAGTTTCAAAATGATAATACCGCCTTAACACTGCATAAATTTCATGTGCTCTATCTTGTAGATTAAGCTCTCCTAGTTGGATTAAACTCCATCATATACTTAAAAATTATGATATATTTTTTTAGAACACAAATTTTGAAATAATAACTCATTTTGAGACACAATAATGAATATTCCATATTGTTTACAAAGAAGTGTTTATATAACCAATATATATCTAAAATACGTAATTGTGAGTTCTTACTACACGTATATACGTTTTAATTTGCACCACACATATATATACACATATTTTTTTTGTATAATAGTTACGCCATTAAAAGTACATTCTTATAAGGCTTCAGACTCCTCCAACATTGCAGTTGGAGAAACAAAGACAAAAGTGTGTGTACATTATTGGTCCAATAGCCCATAAACCCATTTATACAGCTCACTATATAGCTCACTACCCAAATCAATGCCTATCGTATTAATAGTGTGTACATTATTGGCCCAATACCTATGTATTAATCCCATGTATTATATCTACTCTATAAATATGCAACTATCACAGTAATTCGGACTACATTGGCTGTAACCGGGGGACAACAAGCATCTCATCAATCAACAAATATATATTGTGCGTAAATCATGATACTCAATTAGTCAATTGCATGCTTCTAATATTCAATTATGCTACAAATACAGTGATTTAATATCATATTTCTTTTAAATACGATTCTCATTGAATAGAACATAACACAGGGCAATGTACGCTCTCTCATCAATCAGACCGCCTTCACCGCCACTTGTCATCATATCCCATTGAAATAACACGACAATACAGCTCGGTGAGCAATTACTATGATGTGCATCTTAAATACAAGTTTATGAGATCCAAATAACGCTTAATAAGCCACTTATAAACATTTATCGTAAGGAGAGAAAATTGATACTATGTATAAAATATAGAGTTTTTTAATAAATAAAAGATGTATAATTTATTTGAACATTTTACTCAATGATTAAATAATAAATAATCGAAATAAGTGAAAATAATTAATTTCCATACACTTCTCTCACAATTATTTCGAAAAAATGTTGGCATTATATTAGTAGCCGCTCAACATAACAAATCAAATTATTAGTATACACATTCTGACATTCATCTTCATCGTCAGTCATCACCAACACCTTAATTCCAGCATTTCAAACTCGCAAGACATGAATTCATAGTATCAAATAATTTAGTTAACACCAATAATTAATGCAAAAAAACATAGTGACAATTTCTCACCGTGAGCAATTTACCAAGTCACCCCCATAATGAAGGTAGTCAAACGGGTCTATACAACACAATTTGCTATACAGGTTTCAAGGTAGTTCATATCAAATAATAACACATGTATCATTTTATCTATACTTCCATGAGATAGACAAACTGATCTGCATTGGCAGCCATGGGCAAACACTGTTGCTAGCGAAGTCATGACCAACTCCATTGGATTCATAAGATCAGCCAGGCTTGTCTGTTAAACAACACAGTTGTGGCAGAATGTGCGTATTAGCCAGTTATATTGTAATCATCCTCTTGTAGATAAGGGTTATAGTTCTCATAAACTTCCATCTTTCCTATGAATTGCTCCATCCCTGCAAATGTTTATTGTAAATATCTTCAGTTCAAGGAGAACAGGATGGTATACTTTTGTCATTAACTGAATGCATTTTATAGTAAGGACTGCCTGCCTTGTCTCATAAGCCAATAGTCAGCTGAAAACTCCATACAAAGGTTCTGGTTGTTACCAAACCAGCAATAGCCCATATTTGTTTAAAGCGAAAGCGCAGTTAAGTGGCACATCATAGTTTTGCGCAAAATCAAAACAAGCCTTCTTTCCACATAAAGATAAATACAAAATTTTATGATTTAAAGTGACATCAAATGGTCGTTGAAATGACTCTTAAAACTGGTAGACATCAAGACAGATCATTTAGAAGCTGAAATGTTGAGAGCTCAATCATTTTGCCCGCAATTAAGTTCATAGTTAGAATTCATGGTTTTTTAGGCAAAATAACTTTTTATTGACTTCTCAAGTATGCCCTTCTTCAAAAGTATGAAAGAGAAAATAAATACTAGTAATTAGTAATGTACTTTTCATAGTGGTAAAAGAGAAGTGGGAACATAATTTAGTTAAGACCAATAAAGTGAGAGCTGCTTAATTGCCAGACAGAGGGAGTAATAGAGAGCCAGTTTAATACATCCCCTTTTTTACTGTACACTTACTTATATACCACATTGAATTGAAATGAGAATTAAGAAAGCAGTGTCAGAAGTTTTTTTCTGCAATGACTGAAATGAAAATATGAAACACTTGTACTCATCTCTTTTTACATATAAGTTCCCTAAATTATTCAAGAATACAATTTTAATACTCCCTCCGTCCCGCAAAGAAGTTCCCGCTTTCCTTTTTTAGCAGTCCCAAAAAGAAGTTCCCCTTTACTTAAATGGGAAGTTATCTACATCAAAACAGTGCCAAACAGTGCAAAACAGTGTCAAACAGTGTCAAACAGTGTCGAAACAGTGTCAAAACAGTAAAATTTACCCCCTGTTAAGTTTATTTCCTTAATATGTGTGTAGGTCAAACCGTGAACTTCTTTTCAGGACGGAGGGAGTATATATCTTGAATAGTATAGAACAATCAGATCATTTACCGATATTGCCAACATTATCAGAAAAAGCAACAAAATTACCTCTACCAAACGGGCTAAAAATGTGATACAGGAAATGCTATTGTTAATATGAAAAATCCACCATCTGTACAAGCTCTTTCTTAAGCCAATGCACATCTTATGTTGGTTCCGTAACATGCAGTCAAAATCAAACATGCCAATAGCACAATAGGAAAAAAGTGTATGTTGATTGGGCTATGCTTTAGAGTGCTTAACAAAAAGTAAACCAGTCCATCATCACAAACCAGATGTCATCTGTACGGCTAAACATTGTGTGTTGAATAAGTTACGTTCTCAAAGAAATGAAATTATGATAGATCCTGACAAGTCACTTCCCAATCAACAATCAAAATAAATCATGCTTGAAGGCTGGAATTCCCATGTCTTTTTCACAATGAAGCAAAATAGCTGATAGTTTCAACAAAGATTAGTAATTTGACAGTTTCCCCTGTATTGTAATTATATCACATGGAAAAGGACATACAATGAAACACATGTAAAAGCAACTTCAGATATACATACTTGGGTTTGACAAGCCATAGAAGGACATTTGATCAAAACTTCCAGCAGGTTTTGAAGAACTCTCTGAGGCAAAGGTAGACTCAACTTTATCAGTCTTTGAACTGACAGAATGAACAGCAGAGCTGACCTCAGAATTATGATAGCAGGCATCTGAAGTTGGGATCAGAGAATGCTGAAAATCATCTGGTTTTGTTGTGTTCTTATCATCATCCTCTGGTGGTGACTCAACCTCAGCCTCCACTTCTGATTCAACATTGTTTGTAACAGTGACCTGTTGTTTCCTTTTTGAACGAGCACGCCTGTTTTGGAACCAATTGTAAACATTTGTCTCTGAGATTTGTCCGTGACGGGACAATTCATCAGCTATCTCTTTGATCTTCTGCTTGGTTGGAGTGCCATTTCCTTGCTCAAATATTCTCTCTAGTGTCTGAAGCTGCACAGGTGTTGGGGTCCATCTCTGTCTGCCAGCAAGTTTGTGGCCTCCAGCTGACACTAAAGAAGGGTCACAGTATAGATTTCCCAGCCTGGCTCCTGTGTGACACACTATACTTGGTCAAGTTCCACTTTAGATGATTACCTTCTAGTACGGTTAGTCAAGTTCCACTTAGATGGTTATTTGATAGGCATCATGCTAGACAACAATGATTAGTTGAAATGCAGATATAGTACGGTTTAATAAAGAACAAGTTGAAGTTATACTCCAGTGATATACTACTAGCAGTGAGCCAAAACCCAAACCATTTACAAATAACCAATCTATAAATTATCATGCACTAAACATAGTAATTTGGAAAAGAATGCTTGTTTAGATCATAATGACATATATATAGACAATTTTTTTAAAAATTAAACTGGTACAAAGGAAAAAAGGCATACAGTTAAGAAGTATAACCAGATCTCATACTCTGACAAAATTTTAAACTTGATCTGTGTTTATTTTACGAAATTCAACAAAAACGATATTACAATTAGTGAAACGAAAATGAAGAAATAGAAAGAGAGAGGGGATACCTGAAAGATCGTGCTGGGAGGCGATGGATTTGTGCAAATCCACGAGCTGATCGCAAATGGTGGCGTAGACGGCGATTTGCTTGCGGAGGACTTCCATTTGCTCGTCCGTCATTACTTTCACAAACATCCCTCCACTTCCCAATTCATCCGTCGGCGGTGGAGGTGGTTGCAGTTTCTCCCACTCCATAGCTTCTTGCTTAATTTTACACGCACAGGTCACAGCTATCAACTATGTAGCCGTGGAGAGAGAAAGAAGATAACTCCGCAGATCAGAACATGGCCGATGAGAATGTAAAGTCAAGCGGGAAGTCAACAAACGATTTTGATCGTTGAAAATTTGTCTTGAGCGAATTTACTAAACTCCCCTCACTCAATAATAAATCAAAATCCCCTGGGATATTAGGCCTAGACAAGGGCTGAATACTCTAAGAGGCCCAACTCGCATGTGGGTCCAATCACAATCCAAGTCAGTCCAGGAGCGCCGCTCGGCTATCCCTCACAGGTAGTGCCTTTCGGCCTACTTCCCTCACTTGGGCTTCTCTACTCGATCGATCCAGTAGCCATCCAGGTAGAGCTCCTTCATACCTTTGGCGGGAAATTTGAAATTGGCAGAAATCACATTTAATTCATTAGATATGGAAGATTTTGGTTGAAGAATCATTCACTCAGAATTTAGCACATCACCCTCCACCTACTACCTTATATCATAATCAACAACATTTATTTCATTGTAAGAGGCTTTGTATTCTTAACAGTAGACTGCTCTCTAGTTATTCGGTTTTGATGGGTAAAAAGGCCGAATGGCAGATCAGCCCATTATCCACTAAGCATGGGGGCCATCTTAGCCCATATTAGGTGGGCGCTTGTCCTCTGAGACCCCTAGCTTTAAGGGAAGCCAGGTAAATGCCCTAGAGTTAAATGACACATTCTGTGCGGATCCACACCCTCGGAACCACCGAAGTACACCACAGACCTAGGCAGGCTATGTGGCAGACGCTCGTTTGCACCTCAGAGGGATACGAACGGAGGCACATCCTTAACCTATCAAGGATCCCTAGCCCCTCTCACCAGGATGCTCGTCCCAGGTTATGGCGGGAAATCAGGATATTGACGGGAGACGCATTTAATGCATAAGATTTGGTGGTTGAGAGATAGCCATACACAACCCTCCATGTCAACCCCACTACCTACCCCTTGATAGTATAAATATCAGCATTTATTTCATTATAAGTGTTTGGCAACTTAGCACTCTTAGCAAATAACAATTGTATCGACTCATAGCATAGCATTGGACGATGGGCCCGGGGGCTTTGTAGTGAAGTGTGTTGTATACGGACCTTATTAACATTTAATAAGATACGGCCCACTTGCTACCGAATATTTAACTCATTCCTTGCTTGTTTAATCATTTGATTCACCAAATCGTTCGCTCGAGATTCAAGGGTACGTGTGAGCCTTCGGATTGATGGAATAAACCTCAACAAGTTGCATTAAACTTGGTCTAGGGGGTCAAAGACTAGGCTCGACATAGTGTTGTAATCATTCTAAGGATTTCAATAAAACTGGATTCACTTTGCTCTAAATGTCTTGCTTATACTCAGGGCCGGTTCTGAGGGGGGCAAAAGGGCGTGATCGCCCTAGGCTCGAAAAAAATAGAAAAAAAAATAGGCCCAATTTTTTTCCTTTATATATAGTGTGAATAGACTTCTTTTTTTATTCTTAAGTTCAATTAATTAGGCCTAATGATTAATTTTGTTGACAATTTGAAAATTTAAAACATAAATAAAGAGTCTTAAACAAAGACAAGTTTGAAACATATTATATACATTAATTTGTAGCAGGATGAGTTGTAGTTTTTAAAAACAATACAATTGTTGCTGCATAAATAAAAGACACGCCTCTCGAGTCCTCACATCTTTTTAGATTTTAAGGGTTTTTATTCAATTTAAGTATAACATAACAAATTTATACATTTATTTTAGAACCTGTTTCTCTCAAATTTCACCATAATTATTCATTTGTTTCTAAATTTCAATAAGCCATATTTGAGTTCCTAATGGTAGTTTTAGATGACGTCAAATTTGCAATCTTCTTGCGCGAGTCCTTTTGGTAGCCAAACATTTTGTCTCTTTGAAAACCTCCATTCTTTCGAGACTTCAAAGCTTAGACTCTCATCAGTGGTCAATAAATCATTCTTAACTTATGAATTTAATATGTGGTAATATTTCTTTTCATTTATCCTTTCAAAAGAAAGTTTACTGTTGTTATATGTGGCAATTTTGTTGTTTGACATTTTTATTAGTGGAAAGAAGGTTGCTTATGGAGCAATTATTAATGATTTACTTTACATTGGTCTACGAGAAACGTTTTTAAGTAATATTTTTTCTTTTTATTCGATACTCGTGTTATTGTTGTTGCCCAACTATGTAACTTATATATAATAATAAAGTGATTCTTGTCTTTATTTTATGAACTTCATTGCCCAAATATGATTTATTGTTTCTCATGGATATAGGCCCAAAATAGCGTTCCGCCATAGGCCCAGAAATGAACAGGATCGGCCCTGCTTATACTTGTGCCTCTTTCTTACCTAAAATACTCACATAAACTAACCACTAAACAGGGATTCCTACGAAAGCCCAAAGGATTATGTTGAGCCTTCGGACCTCGAAGACTTTAACCTCAACAATCCCCTTAGTCAATCAATTCAACTTTTTCTTGCAATTCATCATCTCAATATATTAATCCAACCAAGTTAAAAGAAAGAATGCCATATATAATACTAATATACTTTCAAAAGACAAAAATATACTACCTTTGTCCCAAAATACATAGCCAACTATTACAATTTGAACCATCATTTTGATTAGTATAATAATATAGAAAATATAAATTTTATACTTTATGAAAAGTAAAATAATTAGTATAGTAATTTTATACACACAAATCAAAATAAAATAGTTACAAAGGCAAAAAAAAATTATCACACTTATGCTCGTACTATATGCAACATACAATACTTGCTCATGAATGATTTGGATCTAGTTTATCCTTGTAAAACTCCGCATTAGTTGATGAATTGAACCCTTAAATATCAAGACTTATAAATTTCACCTAACATAGTTTATGTTTAACTTGTGTTTTCGATAAAATTAATAAATATCACTCATATAAAATTCATAGGTTTATGCAAATCAATAAAATTTATCATAAAATACCAACGGATTTAAAAGTCTATAAATTCATAAAAATATTCACATGCGACTACACGTACTGTAATACACAGTGCCGAAGCCAGAAAAACGGCTCAGGAGAGTCGAAACTCAACATGTATACAAAATGAAAATGATTGATCGTTTTTAAACAATGTCCGAGTTGAATGCTTCATATGCAATTTAAATAAATATGCACTCGTAGCAATAAGATAAACTGTTTTTACTTTGTTTCTTAGTCGTGTCACGTAAGTATTGAGTGAATTATACCATACTTCTAAAATTTGGGAAAATATTATGTAGTATACATTAAATTTTGCTGATTTTACGTTTAGATAGTGCTGATTTTTCAGAAATCATAACTTTTTACTCGTAATGAATTACGTGAGCCATAATATATCAAATCGAAGATATTTCAGAGCTCTATACTCTCAATTTTTCATCCGAGTCGGTGAGCACCCCGACCCCTGGCTCGGCCCCTGGTAGTACACCCTTTAGATGCGTTGACTTTAAAACAAAAAGTTTATATAAATACAATTATACAAATACAAATACAAATACTTAAAGACACCAATGAGAACCCATGCTAGAAATTAATGATTTGAGTTTTTTTTTTTGAACGTAGGAAATTAATTACTCCGTATTTTTTTTTTTTGAGAAGGAAATTAATGGTTTTTTTTGGAAGAGAAATTAAATTAACATTTTCAATAAACTGTCCCCCCCACCGTTTTTTTCTTGTTTCCATCATCGTTCCTCGTCATCGTTTCAGTCAATTTTCAATCGTTTCTGGAATTTCTTGCTAGGAACCCTAAGGCCGTGCAGGCTCAGCCACGAACGAGCATACATACTGGGATAGAGAGATACGTGGATGAAGCGAAATGGGGGCAACGGGGTCAAAACTCGAGAAAGCGCTAGGCGACCAGTTTCCTGAAGGCGAGAGATACTTCGGTCTCGAGAATTTCGGAAATACATGCTATTGCAATAGCGTCCTACAGGTTCGATTCCTACGTTTTTGCCCCAAATCCCCCATTTTAGGTATTCGGCCCAATGCCTCGTGGGAAGACACTGATTTGGATTCTGCGTCTTTGATGCTTCCGGCCTAGTTACTTGAATTTGGTTTAAGTGCCTTCAAATTATTGCTAACTTCCGATTAATGAATGAAAGAACAAGAAAGATGTGCGCTTTTGTATGTACTTTGTCTGATCTTGCGTGACGATCATCAAGACATCTATGGCATTTAAAATTTTAGTTGTACTTTGATTTGATTTGATTCCCATTTAAACCTATTTGGCTCCCTCCATGGTAGTTACTAGATTTTGCTCGTGTTTTTCTGCTTTCTCTTTTCTGACAACGAACAAGATTTAAGTAATGAGGAAACCTGATTTTTAAGTTTTATTTTTTGTAGTTTGAAGAAATTAACATGTTTAGTATATCATGATTAATCTTGGTCTATGTTGCACGGAAACCTGAAAACATGGAAAACGTAAACATGAGAAGCCATCTTTCAATAGAAAAACAAGAGTTTGAAGAGCTTTCTGAATGCAATTATACTTCTTCACAAGAGTTTTTCTGCATCACAGATTTTGGTTTATCCAATGTTTACATAATACTTTGTAGAACAAATATTCCGTTATTAAAAAAAGGCAGCATAAGGGAAAAGTGGGAAAATGTTATCTTTCCGACAAAGAAAAGAAGCTGAGGTAGTCAAAGAAACATAATCTGAAAAGTACACCTAGAAAAAAGTAAAAGAGAAGAGAAAAGAGAAGAGATTTCAAAGAATTGACCTTAAACATGGGATAGGAGAAGCCAAGTAGGAGAATTGGAGAAGTCGCAGAATTGCATCACAGAAGATAAGAGAGAGGAAGATAAGTTACGTAAGGTTTTCCTGTAAACTTAGTATCTGGAATGAAAAACAAAACAAGTTGTGCAGTTCACACACTGGACCAAAATTATGTCATCCTTAGTGTGAGCAATTCTTTAAGACATTGTGCAATGAGGCATTCCCTATCACATTTAGGCTAGGAATCTTCTGTGACATGCTGCCCTATTTCATCTTCTTCACAGTTTAATCTGAATTTGTGTCATTTCTTTTGATTGTGATAGTTTATGAAGTTATTTATTTTAAAAAACATTCTGAAAGTGTGATTTGTGGAGTGCATTGCAAAATTTTTTTGTAGAGCTTCTTGTCTGGTTGATAAATGGGTGATCAACTTTATTGGGCATAAACAGAAGTCTTTTAAATTATTCTTCTACTTCATATTGTATAAGTTAGCTCTGTATAACTGACTAAGTGACTATAACATGCTGGAATTATATGGTTGGTTATGGTGAGTTATTGTTTTTGGGGGTTTATATAAACTGGTTGCTTAGAGCTTAGAAGACTAAGATTTCACATGATCCAACCCTGCTTTTCACCCAAGCGGTGTTCTTAAAGGTCTGAGGTGCTAGGGAGACGGTACCATATGCTTTGATTAGTTTGATACAAGTCGGGCATCCTCAATGAGCCTGGATCCAACATATTGCATAATTAGTTCTGTTGGAAATTATTGGATTGTATTTTAGTGTAGCAGTCATAAACAAATTGATTCAAATACCAATATCGTGTCATTACTCATATATCATATATCTATATAATATATGACACGATTGCTTGTAAATTTGATTCTCATAAATTGATTATACATTTTCCAACTCCTTGTTTATGAATATATTTCAAAATATATTGTGACCCCATTGTCCCTAGAAGTTAAAAAAAAAATAAAAGGCTTAAGTATCAGGCAGTGTCTCCTAGCAAAGTACAGTTCAAGTGGTAAGACACTTGATTTAGTACTTGCCGCTTAGTATAAAATCAGGCATCCTAGGTTTCATTTTAAAATACTGCACCCAAAAAGTCATCGCTTGATGATAATCCGGTTTACGTTATTATCAAGTTTTGGCTTCTTAATTTTGCTAATTTTTCTTTGTTTGCATCTTAGAGAATCTTGTTGAGTGTTGACCCCTATCTTTGTTTTATTGCATTTGTTTGTTATTTTCACAAATGTTCATTCTTTCAGTGAGAAATACAGTTCAGCATTTTAATTTGTGTTCCCACTTAAATGTGATTGTTTTTTGCAGACTCTTTATTTTTGTGTCCCATTCCGGGAGCAGCTACTAGAATACTATTCAAATAATAAAACACCCTCTGATGCTGATGAAAATCTGTTAACATGCTTGGCCGACCTATTTATGCAGGTATATGTTTTTTAATCTGGAACTTTTATGTTAATATGATTGCCAGAACATGTTATTCTTACATAAATCTGAGTTTAAGGCTTTTGCCTGGAAACTTAATGATGTATTTCTTTAACAGTCTTAATTATAGAGACTTGAATTATTCTGTTTTGAACCCCATATTTACCTCTAGCATTTGACATTGCACCCCTTGTTTTATTTTCTTTGACTTGTTTGGATGATATGTATAAAACCCCGTAAACTATTCATTAGACTTCTGGCCCTTGATTTATCTTAATATTTGACTTGGCACCCCACTCGGGGTGTGAAGTCAAAGAAAATAAAACATGGGGTGCAAAGCCAAATATTGGGATAAACCTTTGATCCAAATACCAAATTTCCCTGTTTTTTTTTGTATTTTCCTCATTCTCAATTTGGGTGGTTCAATTAGAACTTCCTATTCTGCACATTTGCTGTGGGCTTTAGTAAAATGGAAGGGATGCTCAAAGCCCCTAGTTGCTGCTTTATTTGGAATCTCTTGAACTCAGGGCTTGTTTGGTTAGGAGATTCCAGAGGGGAGTGGATGGATTGAGTCTGGTTTTACTAATCTATCTCTAATGAATTTGTTTGGTGAAATCTTTAATTGTGTATTTCTCTATAATTGAAATCTTTACCCTCTTTCCAACAATTTAGATTAAGAATAAACAAGTACTCCAATATGAATGTCACCCTTTCCCCCCCTTCTGTCCGACTTGCCTCAACCAAACTTGGCTTAGATTTTCAAGTGAGCATTATATTGTTAGTTGCTTGTTACATTTCACGTATTCATATAGTTAGAAAGAAATTGTTTTGAAAATGAAGTGTGAAGTGTGACATACAGGGTTATATTTAGAGTATTTGAGTCAACCCAATTACGAATTTTTCTAAACCATTTCTAAATTGCAAAGGTTTTTAGGAAATTAATAACTGAATATGCTAATGGTAATGCATTATGTAACATACTAGTATTTGTATATTAGTATATGCACACTAATGATTTGTTCTAATACAGTAATTATTTATTTTATCATCAACATAGTACAAGCAACGTCTTATTGGTCATCATATCACATTAGCACATGCTGATCAATTATAATCATATTCACAGTTGAAAATGTGTTGATCACATTACAACTCTATGTTAGTGCATATGAAATTATGAAGGATTAGGTTACTTTTATACAGCAGTGTCAATACTTCCCATTAACTTTATTTTAAATTATTAATATATGATGTGCAGATTAGCTCACAAAAGAAAAAAACAGGTGTGATTGCTCCAAAGCGCTTTGTACATAGGCTGAAGAAGCAGAATGAGATTTTTCGTAGTTATATGCATCAGGTATCCTTAGAATCTCTGGTTTATAAATCACAATTTACATGTGTTATCGTAAATCTAATTATGTAACATCAGCAATTATGTATTCATCAACCTTAGGTCCTTAACCAGATAAATTTATGTCACAATACTTTATTTTTTACACTATAATGTGTTTGGCTTATTTACTCAAAATATTGAACTTGAGGTTAGAGATAGTTGCTAATCATGCTAAAACACGATATTTTGTAGTTTAATAAGGAAGTGAAATTATTTTTTAAAAATCAGAATAAATTGCAAAGGTAGTCTCTGCCTGGGAAGTAGCAAGCTGTGTGTTACTGTCGGTGAATATATTAATTTCTGTTCAGTGTTCAGAGGGGAAATATACTCTATAGACTGCATTTCCAAACCAGACGGAAGAGGACTATTTTACATGCTCTCTGTCCAAGCAGGCAGTTTCTTTTTGAGGTTATTTGTGAATCACTTCAAAAGCTCTGATACCAAACTGAGTGGCTGCATGGATACAAGCATTATTTAATTTACTTAAATGTTCCGGCTCACTGAATCATCTGTAGATAGGATAAGAGTTAGTTTTTTGTTATAACACCTGAGATCTTATGATGCCATCCTTTGTCCGAAAAATCCTGAGATTGTGTGCTTATATGTATACATCCGTCTTTCTAATTAGGATGCCCATGAATTCCTTAACTATTTGCTGAATGAACTTGTCGACATACTGGAGAGAGAGTCAAATGCTGGCAAAACGGATAGAGAAAATTCCTCTTCTGAAAACATTGTTCATGCCAATGGTGCGCAAAAGGAACCTCTTGTCACCTGGGTTCACAAAAATTTCCAGGTAGAGCTGCTTCCCTTGGTTTCTGATTTCCTTGGTATTGTAAATGACACAACATTTTAATGCAAAGGCCTCTCACCAATGCTTCATATTTCAGTTAAGATGCATAGTTTATTATCCAGGTGTGGTAAGTCATATTACTTAAATTATTATTATTAAGGGTGTTAAACTGGAATGGCTTTGACAATTGCTAGGTGGCTCATGGCTGTTAATTTTTAGTTGATTGCACTAGTTAAGAATTTACCTTGATAATATAAATATAACTCCCCCTTTTTATGGGAAGAACTATGAAAATAAAATTAATCAGTGAAAAATTGAATGGAAAAATTGTGTGTATATTTTTACTCCCTTCTGATATCCTTTTGGAGCCACTTCATCTCTAAATTTTCACTTCTGTGATAATGATTGACTTTCAGGGTATATTGACAAATGAAACAAGGTGCTTATGCTGTGAGACTGTAACCGCAAGAGATGAAACGTTTTTTGATTTGAGCCTTGATATTGAACAAAACAGTTCAATAACAAGCTGCCTGAAAAACTTTAGTTCTACTGAGACTTTGAATGCTGAAGATAAATTTTTCTGTGACAAGTGTTGCAGGTACTTTTCTTTGTCTCTTTCTAGTAGGTATTATGTAATTTTCCACCGTTTGCAATGGAGCCAAAGACTCATTATTTTTTGGCTTGGGAATATGATGGAATAAAGCAAAGTGGCTCACTTTTCGATGAAGCAGCGGTCAGTCTATGCAATTTTTGCTGCGATTTTCACTTTGGGTCATCCGGAAACAGTCTCTTTGTGCTTTAGTACAGGGGTAAGGCTGCATACATCTGACCTCCCTTACCTCACCGTAGGTGGGAGCCTTTGCGGCACTGGGGTAATGATGATGATAATGAATTAGTCTTAGAAGGAGCAGTGATTTGACACTTACTGCTTGAATTTTTTTTATGCTCCCTTCGTCCCAGATTATATGCCGTTTTAGCCAAACTTTATGATCCAGCAATGATTGTCTTGTAGGACTTGGTGCAATTTTCCGGATCTTCCAAAAATTACCCATAATTACTCTTTGTACATTAAATGTTATTGTATCTTAAAATAATTAAAATACATTTGAATGTTTTATGTTACTGTTAGATAAGGACTGGAGTATTGTTTTGAAAATTTCCTCAATATGTGCACTTTTCAAAAGCGTCAATCTTTTTTTGGAACAGGAGGGGGTGTATGTTCTAGGGTGTAGGAGGGGTGTTGAGCTACATGTTTTCAATTCTGTCGTATACATTTGAAAAGTATGAACTAGATTGCAATTCCTGTTAGATGCAAAGTAAGAAATAAGATGGCATGTTTTTTTCATCCTTCAATTTCTTGTCATTAGAATAGAGAGTCTGGAGAGCTTATTAAATAGATGTTCATTGTAGCTAGCTTGCTAATTATGAGCTTTGTTAAGAATGCAGTTTGCAGGAAGCGCAAAAGAGAATGAAGATTAAAAAGCCACCACACATCCTAGTAATCCATTTGAAACGATTCAAGTACATAGAACAGCTGGGGAGGTATAAGAAGTTATCGTATCGTGTAGTGTTTCCCCTAGAGCTGAAGTTGAGCAATACTACAGTAGAGGATGCAGACGCTGAGTATTCATTGTTTGGGGTGGTAGTCCATGTAGGGAGTGGGCCCAACCACGGACACTATGTCAGCCTGGTCAAAAGTCACAACCATTGGTTGTACTTTGACGACGAGAATGTGGAGATGATTGATGAATCTGCTGTGCAAACATTCTTTGGATCAGCACAAGAGTATTCTAGCAACACTGATCATGGCTACATCTTGTTTTACGAAAGAGTTGTTGCTGCTATTTCTCAGTCTACTGATTAGTGAGTAACAATCACACCGATTTTTTTAGGGGCATTGTTTTGCGATCTATTTTTGTGTGTTTTTTTGTGCGCCTTTTGCCTTCGCAATTTTTTTTTCTCTATCTGCTTCTGAAGTTGAGATGGAATTCGCAAAATATAACCATTTTGAGTTTCGTTCCTCCTTGTACAGACAGAGAGGTGGAGGAAGCTTGTGTCCTCTATTTTTCCCTGAAAACAATAAAAACAGAAAAGGAGAGTAGTAGTGTGTGGGATGATGTAGTTCATTAGACTGACTAGGCAGCTAGACTTTTATTAAGATTGAGATAAGATGTGTTTTTCCCTCCACAATATATCTCAGGGAAAATATACTCTGAGTAGTGTGAGGACATTGCACTCAAATTCTAACAGAAATCAGACACTTATTTGTTTACATTTTTTACATTCCAGACAATTTTGTATGATATCCCTTGTATTTTTATATGCCAAGAATGGTTGCAAGTTTTAAATTCTTGGTTGATGACTTGATGCCCTTTGAACTCTAATATCTTTTCCTCTAAATGGTAATTTCTTGTTAAACATATCCTCTTATCGCAAATCTTACTTCATTATTTATTGAAAAAACGGTCAAAATAGTGATACTGTGATACCCTTTTCATATAATGATAACTACATAGTACAACTAATATAATGAAGAGAACATGAATTTGAAAAAGATCAACCAGTGCTCATAGACTAGAAATACGTTTTTAAAACAACAAATGGTGAAACTGACATTTACTATCTTTATCCTTATTTATTCACATAGAGATGGACTGGTTCTGCTCTGCCCGGCCTGGCCCGGCCCGCCACTGGGGACTGGACCGGCTTGCCACTGTGCGGGACTGGCCCGGCCTGGAATCCTGGATGCCTCCTGTGGCAAATGCAGTAATGCAGTATGAGGTGATAACAAATGACTAGTTCAAACCCATGTGGGTAGCCGGGTAGGGGTGGACCCAACCGGTTCGGCCCGGCCCGGAACCGGCCCGGTTGGTGCTAACTGGCCCCGGGCTATTACCCGGTTGCGGAGGGTTGGGTGGGCTGGGCTCGGGCCCTATATTTGTTGAACCGGCCCAGGTGGTTGGGGCCGGGCCCGAGCTTTTTTTTTTTTTTTTTTTTTTTTCATTTTTTTGTTTTTCTTGGTTAGGGCTGAGTGTTTGGGGGGGGGGGGGTTTGGGGGGGGGGGGGTTTGGGGGGGGGGGTTTGGGGGGGGGGTCGGGGGTTAATTAGAAAGTAAAAAAAATTACCTTGACTCGGGCCCGGCCGGGCCTGTTAGGCCTGGACCCGGTATCAACCTGGGTCGATTCCGGGCCCAACAATTTGAAAAAAAATCTGCCCGGGCCTGGCCCGGGTCCTTCCCTACTTGGGGGAAAGAGTGGAGGACTAGAAATGGGTAACAGGGACATAGCATCGAGCAAATTGTGAGTGGAGGGCCAAACTCCAAAGTATCCAATTGATAAACAAAACAATTTTTTGGCGATAAATTGGTCATTTTTTTTGTGAGCGAGAAATTTTTAATCCTCAAATTTAGAATTTCTGATATTTAATCCACCAAATATTATGAAATTGATATTTTCAATCCTTCTAACTTGATTTTATCATGAAAAATAGATGACTAAAAATGTCAATGTGGATGTTTGACCTTAAACCAATCGTGGTAGCATATAAGTATCTCAAGAGATTCTGCGCTCAACCTCGTTCTACATTGTGTTAGGACATTGCCGGCTGAACTAAATTCTTGTTCCATGACAACTAAATTCTTGGGATGAGGCAGGCAAGTTGGTGTTGTGTCTGTCGCCACCCTCCTCCTCGTCGTTGTCGTGGCTCTCCGAAATTAGTTCCTCCACATCGTCGTCTTCGAGCTCTTCTTCGTCAATGGTCCTCGGTTGGTCTTGAAAAAGCAGCTATTATGTCGGTGCAATTCTTGTTCTAGTTAGGGACTTAGGGGTGAACTTGGGTCCGGGCCGGATTCGGGTCGGGCCTAGGCCCGGGCGGGCCGGCGGTTCAGGAGTGGTGGACCCGGGACCGGCCCGGGTAACCACCGGGTTCGGTCCGGGTCCGGCCCGGGCCCATTATCATTTCCCCCCCTCTTCCTAATTAACTCCCCTCCCACCCTCAAACCACCCCAAATGCCCCAAAATACCCAGCCCAACCCGAAAATTTAAAAAAAAATTGAAAAAAAAAACAAATTTGGCCCGAACTGGGCCTGGGTCCGGCCGGGTCGGGCCTTGTTTTGGGTGACCCGAGCCCGGACCGGAAAACCCACGGGTCGGGCCTACCCAGACCGGTCACTGACCGGGCCACCGGGTCGGGCCGGAACAGTACCGGTCCCGGGCCGGTTCCGGGTCGAGCCACCCGGCCCGAGTCCATCCATGGTCTAGTTATTCATCGGTCATTGCATCCCCATTTAACTAGTTTTTAAACTACCTTTTGTACTACCTATTTTTTTAACTAACAATCAAATTATTATAGTTTAACTAGTTTAATGAGAATTAACTAGTTTTTTAAACTAGAGTCAAAGGTAGCAATTAATAAAAAATTGTAATAAAGTAATTAATTACTTTAATGAAAAATTAAACAATTCGTGTGAAAACTAATTAACTAATCAAGTAATGTTAATACAAAATTAAACAAGTGTAAATAATAGAATGATTTCGTACCTGTTTTGGTCTTTCGGATGGGAGTAATAGAATGACTTCGAATTAATTAGATATAATTCCAACTATATTAATAGATATAATAAATGTATAAGTAATATATAATTAGATAAGAAATATAAGTAATATAATGTATGTATTTATAAGTAGATAATTAATATAAAGTAGATATATAAATATAATATATTGGAGAATAAGAGAATTTGAGAAGATGAAGATAATTAGAGAGTAGAGAGTTAAGAGTAGAATTTAGAAAGAGTTGGAGAAGAATTATGGAAAAATGTTTAAGATTAGGTTTTCTTTTAGGTTTTTTATAGGTTTTTCTGATTTATAGGTTTTTTTACCCACCCCCACCCCAACCCCAAACCGCCCGGACCCCCCTGCTGCCCACCCAACGGCTATATAGCCGTTTGGGTTGTCCCCAGCCCACCCCCAACGGTCATTTGGCCCAAATAAAAAAATTGTGACCTGGACCCGGGCCGGGTCACGTTTTATAGAAACCGAGCTCGCAACCGCTTAGCCCACCGGTTCGGGTCTACGCTCGGTCCCGGACCGCCCGACTGGGCCGGTTCCGGGCTCACACAGTAGCGGGCTAGTTGACTGTTAGATAGTTAGGCACGAACTCGGTCTAATTTAGATGGTCACTTAACTATTAGTGTGTTAAGTTTCAATTTGATCACTCAATTTTAATTTAGTCCATTTCAATCATCTATGTTTTATTTCAGTTTCAAATTCACCACGTCCAGCATGCTACATTGCCGGAAAAGTGAATATATATAACAACTTAAGCCTCAACCATTGAAAGAATTCATCCACAGTTTCTTTTTTGGCTAAAATCGATGTCATCTAGAATTTATTAGATTAAGCATTTCAGTCAAATAATCCTTTGAATTCCCACATCCGATACTTATGAAGGAATTAAGCGCTATATTAAGATTTCGATTATTTCTCCTATCAGGTTGTCTTTTAGAGTGAAACCTCAGATCTTAACATGATATCAGAGCCAGGTCGATCCATTGTGTAACCCCTCTTCTGAAAAATGATTGACAAACTTTAAAAAAATTGTCAATAACAAATCGATGAAAAAATTGAATGACGCACGATCCAGACGAAGTGTCTGATCGTGAGAAGGGATGTTGACTTCCCACATCGGATACTTGTGAAGGAATTAAGTGCTATATTAAGATCTCAATTACTCCTCATGTTGACCTTTTAGAATGGAACCCCGGATCTTAAAATAAACTATACTTGTTTAAGCCGGATAACTCTTACTAAAGAAGTTCTTATTCTATATTAACTGAATAAATTCATCTATTCCAACTTTCAATTTGAAACCAGTTTCTCTGCTACACAAGGTGAATAAAAAGGGATCAGAACTCCTGAGATGTAATGGGGTGCAGCTTCCTCCACAAGCTGGTTTGCTTCTAGTGCAAGTTGTAGCTCTGATGTAAGAACACAGAGGAAGAAAGAATTAGAGCTGACAGGTTGAGGATCGAGTAAAGAATTAAAGGTACAGGAGTTTGTCATTTTGTTTCAAGAATTTAATGATTTATTTAAGAGAAAACATACATATTTAAGCACATCACTATTCCGGCAGCTTAATGTGCCAGATTTAATTAATCTGAACTAAAGTTACAGTTAAATGATCAAAATGAAACATATTAAAATAATGTGACCAAATTGAAACTTATTTAGAAGTAAAGTGATCATTCAAGTTAATTTCCCGATTTAATTAATAGTGATTAATTAAATTGTATATCAACCCCAAAATATGGGGAGAGACTAATAATTATATTCTTGATCCATATTATTTATTTAATAGGCCAAGAATAATGGAAGGATTTATATATAGTGATATGGTCCAAAATAATATGAAAAAAGTAACTCAATAAGTGATTGGAGCCAAACTTACTAATAATACAAATATAACGGGTATCGGTCTCGGATTATTGGGGAGGACTAACTTGGAGTCAACTTATTACTTCCTTCGTTCCTAAATAAACTTCCAACTTTCTTTTTTCATCCGTTCCAATTAAAACTTCCACTTTCCCTTTTTGGTAAAAAATTTGTGGTTCACAACATTTCTTACGCATTTCTCTCTCCTCTGCACAACTCTCCGCCACACAATATCCACTATCTTAAACTTTGTGCCAAACCCATTTGGAAGTTAAAATGGGAACATAGGTAGTAATATTTAATAGCCCAATATAATATAAATCATGGTAAATAATTCGTATGAGCGGAGTAAAAGTGAAATGGGCAGCCCAAGTGATCCATAGCCCAACCTTCCTAATTTAAAAGGATATAAGAGGGAGACCATTCTTCTCCTCTCATTTGGGAGAACCATGCGTATGAGCTAAAGGAAGGATAGAGATAGCTCAACCTAGCTCTAAGAACAAGGAGAAAAGGTGAGAAGAAATGAATGAATTTCCGGAGGAGAAGAACAAGAACTAGCAGTGACAACTCTATATTCCCTGTTTCATTTCTTCCATTTTATATACTTCGCATATGTGGATTTATTTGAATCATTTGATGGATTATATACGTTGTTCTACACGTTTAAAGGTGTAAAAATGTGTTATAAAGTGTTGGTCTTTAACTAGGAACACGTTGATTCGATAGGAATCAAAACCGCTGAAAACAGTACCATAGAAGAGTGCTGTTTTTGTGTTGCATACCCCGAAAGCTGCCCGGCTTTTGCAAAAGCTTCTTCCCGGATTTTGTTCACTGCCCAACAACATCAATTCGGATCATCCTTGATCGAGGGTTTAACCTTGAGGCTTTAATAGGGAAGCTTGTTAGACATATTTAAGGTGAGAATGACTGACTATATTGTTTTTAACTAGTGAGTTAATTCATGAGATTACCATGTCAATTGATCATATGTTGTATATGAAGAGTTGAAGCATGATTAATTAATCTATGAATAAATGAAGCATGTGTACATGCTATATTTGGAATATTGTGCTAGTTCAACTTGTGATGAACTAAAAAGATGATTAAATGAATTTCTATTCAATTGTATTGACTTTTTGGATAATAAAGTCATTATAGATTTTAGTGCAAACGAGCCAGACTCGTTTAAAAGGGAAAGACAAATCAAGCTAAGGACAACCCGGCCGGGTAGTAGTACATGACTAGCCTGAGGTTGTGTTATGAACATTAAAAAAATTGATCCTAAGGTTAGGATTGTGAAGCTCTGTGACTAGGGTATTTATTTGGGATAACTAGGGTATTCGTTTAGGATAACCTTAGATGATTTAGATGATATATTGACCTAGGATTGGATAGTTGATGTTATTTTTCCGGGTGGTCTTTAGGATACCCGTAATTGATTGTTTGATGGGTGGTCAGGGTCATGGCTCGACTCTAATCTAAGGATAGATGCCCGACCACATGAACTTGCTAATTGATAGATGGGGGCCAAGGGCCGGCCGAGTCTAAGGATCGTGCCGACTGCATGGACTCATAATAGAATAGATGTAAGGACCATGACCTTGTCTGACTCTAGAAAGCGTGTTGGATAGCATAGACTTACAATGTGATCACGTATAGGAGTGGAATCCGAACCTGGAGGTAATATAGGATAACATAGACCCTATGAGGCTCCTGACTGCAGTAATACTTAAGATAGGACCCCAAATGGGCCTTACCTTCCTACTGGAACATGGTATGAGTCCAGGGGAAGGATGCCCGACACCGACCAAGTACCCTACGAGCCTCCGATAGCGGTGGCAGGTCATGAATTGATGTGACCTTTGGGTTGTATTGCATGAATTATTAATGTAATGAATTATCGCAGGGCGATACGAAATGTATTGTGAAATACAAATGGGGCAATAAATATTCGTTGGAGCGATACAAAGGGTTTGTGATATACAAATGGGTCTATGGGCCGACTATTTGACTTTATATACTTTTGTATGATTTGAAAGGGGTAACTATGGGTTATTACCTAGTATATGATATCACCCTTTGTTGAGGGTCTTAAGGATTGAAACATCGATTATATGCAATGTAATTGTCATTGCACTTTTCAAATGCTTCAAAGTACTGACCTTCCCTCACGAGGAAGTCACCTCACAGTTTTCAGACAGAAGCTGGAGCTTGCTTCTTGTGCCCGTTGCTTCGGGAATTCTTGGAGAGAAGACGTGATTTGTGCTTCCTTCGTTCTATTTTCATAACACTAAACAAAGATGCTCACGAATAATATTTGACTTAAACTATTTGGTAGTTGTGTGCTCACATTTGCCCTGCGTGGCTTTTGATTTCCGAAGTACAATTTCCGTTGCGTACTTGAATTACTTTACTTATGATTGTTTATGGATGATTAATGTGTGAATGATATTCATGACGCCTCGTATGATTCAGGTAAGCTTGACCGAGGTTGACCCATTCAGGTTGTATGGCGGTTCTCAGTGCGTCCGGAGAGGCCCAAGGCGTGACAGTGAAAGATTAAGAATAATTAAATTAGACCGGATAAATAGTGGATATGAACTTTACTCTGGGTAGAGGTAGTACTATTGAATGAAAATATTTTTTGTTAAAATATTCTTTAAGAAAATTTATAGAAAAAAAAGATAACGTAGTGCGCTGTACTTTGTATAATTAGTTGTATTACAAACTTCTCAATATTTATAAGGGAAAATAAAAACTAATAATCCAACCTTTTAGCGGTTTTTTCTTACAATAGTCTCACCTTTTGATTATTCAGGAATAATCCAACCTTTGCACCCCATCTTCATTCAATGGTCTTGATGGATAGTGTATCCGGGGGTTAGCTTATCCGAGAGGTTATTACAGGGAATAACTAGAGAGAAGTCAGAGCAAATGAGTATAGAGAGAGAAAGTATATTAGAAAGTATTCAGTGTTTTCAGCGTGTTGCGTCTTGTGTCTTGGTTACAAATGGGGAAATGAGGTGCTATTTATAGTAGCAATAAATGCCAGACAGGGACACATGTCAAGCATCCATTGGTCGAGGGGTCACCTCAACTGGCTGGCGCTGACAATCGCATGTGGCCGCATTTAATGCGGCTGTTGGATGTGACGTCGTACTTGGTACGGTGATCCATACGCATGTGGAGCGGATATTATGTCGGGAAAGACGCCCTCGGATGTAGATGACTAGCCGAGGGCTCTGAGTACTGGGGACCCCCTTAGTGCCGAGGGCTCCAGTTGCCGAGGGCTAATGATTTTCGCCGTTCTTCCCAGTAACTTTGTTTTCCTATTTTGGCCCTTCTGTGAGGTTCAGAGCCTTCGGCCAGGGGCCGAATGCACCCCTGGTGCGCATTGTGGGCTGCTTGGTACCTTGGGCGCCGTGATTTGGGCTTGTTATGCTTCCTGGGCCTATTGGACCTTTATTGGAGTAGTAGGAGTCTGTGGGCCGGGGGTTCCCGGGCCATATACTCCATCAGGCCTCTGACCGGTTGATGACCTGCTATTCCAAGTTATTTTCTTATCTTTGCAATATATTATACCATAAATCTCACCTCATGGTCACATAATGTTTTGCAAAGATAAGAAAATAGTTTGAAATAGTAGGTCATCAACCAGTGAGGGACCATTGAATGAAGATGTGGTGCAAATGTTGGATTATTCCTAAATAATCAAAATGTGGGACTATTGTAAGAAGACCGCTAAAAGGTTGGATTATTAGTTTCAATTTACACTATTTATAATTAATAAATTAAGAACACAACTTTTAATTAATAATTTTAAGAATCTAAAACACAAATATATATAGCAATAATAGTTTTATTTTTAAAGATTGGTGTCCCACATGATAATGATGTCCTATGCATATGCCTAGGTGCCTCCCCACTATAGCGGACTCTGACTAAATGTCGAGAATGATAAAATTGAGCACTAAAAGTCTCTCGCTCACAAAAAATTAATCAATTTGATTATCTTCGGAGCTTTGTTTTTTACCAATTTATCGTCATAGCTTCATTGTTATCAATATGTCACTGGAGGGTTTTTTCTTACCAATTTGGTAAACCACTTTTTTTTTTTTACAAATTTGGTAATTTAGCCGCGAAGGGAGTGTTTGTGTCCAAGTAAGAGTTAATGGGGGCACTCTATTTTTTTTTTTTTGCATTGGGCGGCACTCTTTCTTTTCTATTGAGGCACTAAAATACAACCACTTAAATAAAAACTTTAAATTTTATTGGGGGCATGTGTCCCCATTGTTTACCATATGCACCCGCCCTGCAATTCGTTGAGAAACGACCTTATAGGCAGAGAGTGTACATAATATGTGTTCAAAGCATGCGTACACCAAGAATTGATGATGGGGTGAATTCCCTAAATAGAAGTAAAAAAATTCTAAAATTCCAAAATAGGAGTATCATGTTTTTTATTCCTTAAATAGAAGTAAATTTATGTCAAGGTTGGCATTACTAGGGTTTAAAACATGACATTTTTTTGCAAATTTCGTAGATTACTCCTATGCAGGAAATAAAAAAAATGATACTCCTATTTTGGAATTTCAAAACGTTTTTACTGTTATTTAGAGCAATTTCTATTGATGATAAGAACAGAGAATGTATATAAACACCAGTAGAATGTATATCTCGTGTATATAAAGCCCTCACTATTGTGTCAGTGACACTTTTGATACTCGACTTTTAATTTTTCCATTTTTAGTCCTCGACTATAGTGTGGGAGACACTTTTGGTACCCGACTTTAAAAATTTTCGTATTTAGTCCTTCAACTTTTGTAAAAGTGACACTTTTGGTCCTTCAACTAAACTATTGCAATAGTGACATTTTTAGTCCTTCATTTATTGTGTCAAAATCATAGTAGAAGGACTAAGATTGTCAATATGATAATACTCAAAGGACTAAATGTGGGAAAATTGAAAGTCGGGGACTAAAAGTGTCTCTCGCACAATAGTCGAGGACTAAAAATGGAAAAATTAAAAGTCGAGTACCAAAAGTGTCACTGACATAATAGCCGGGGGACCAAAAGTGGCAAAAACTCTATTCATTTTCAAGAGTCGTACTAAAGCCAACCCATTGATTTTCCACGATATGTTTACTTGGACTGAAATTTTGTGATCTAAACTGGCCTGATAGATGTTTGATAAGAATGGTAGAAGTTTGATCTCTGTGTATTTTACAACTGTCAAAGTCTAATCTTTTCTGGTCTGTTCTGAACAGGTCTGATCTGGTTTGGGATTGAAATAAATTCAAGTAAAAATATCTCAATTAATCATATAAACTCTTTATTCAATACATGAACTTAAGTGATAAATTTAAACATAGTAAACAAATAATTTAGTGAAGAAAAATAAATTTAAACCTAGTAAAAATAATTTAGTATGTTAGTTCTCATCTTCTTTTTTGCTTAAACAATCTCTAAAGAGTGGTTTGGTGCTCACATGAGCGGTGGTTTGTTTTCTAGTGTGTCTAGGGTTGTTATTATTATGTCAATTTTGATAGTCAATTTATGGGTGGTTTTGTTCAAATTAGCAATACGGTTTGCTACAAGATGCTATATTGTTGTTTAGTTGCTACTGAAGACACTCTTTCAGGCGTAAATATACTTTCCTCAAAAGCCATCTTTATGCTCAAATCATTTATCGGTGGCTCGCTCCCTCCTGAACCACCACCACTAATTGAAAGAGTGATTCTATATTTTTATCTAACTGGTGCATTTCAGATCGGAATAAAATTCATTGATGTTTTGTTGAGCGTGACATACTAGATCTACTCGAATCAGTTGAGGGGCGCTACAGCTACATGATTGGACAAGGGTGACTACTTTAAACCGTAGTCACAATTTTGCTTATTTATGCATTTTTTATTACTCTTTGTTCGTTCGTTCGTTTTAGTTTTGTGTAAAGATATGATAGGTTTTTTCATACCAGGTTAGAAGCATTGAGATCGACATGATCAAATTAAGCTTTCATTTGTCCGCTACACGATTAGCAATTTTGCGGCTAATTTGTGTGTGGTAAAGTCTAAGGGTATGTCTGACGCAACTAACTCAAAAGATATTTTTATGAGCTTTTTGGTAACGATTAATTTTTAGTGATTGAAAAGATCTTAAACGAAAAAGATAGTAGTTGTTTGATAAAAAACTGTCTGTTTGGTTTAGTTTTGTTTGTTATACAAGTTGTTGAGACTAATTAATGCTAGAAGCTACAAACTTATCTGAGATGCTACTCACTGTAGCATCTCAAAAAAGATCTTATATTTTTAACAAAACTCTTAAAAGTAGCATATCAAATATACAAGTAGAAGCTTTTAAAAACTTTTTAAATACTACAAAAGCTAGAAGATAGGAGTTTATGCTCGCCAAACATATATTAAATCAAATCATTGAGCTTTTAATTGGAACTAGAATTATCTTGAACCTATTTTAATGATATTTGATTTATTTGTATTAATATACTCCATCCATATTTAAAAGTTCTCTACACTTTCTTTTTTGGATTGTATTTAAAAGTTTCATAAATTTCCATTTTTTGTAAGTTTATCAACTTTATAAAATACTCAGCTCGTCTTGCTTTATCTACTTTTTATCTTTCTTTCATATTTTTACACGATCTCTTCTACTTTTTCTACACTATTCACTACATCTACTACATTTCTCCTTAAATAATGTATCTAATCTAAGGTAGTAAACATTAAAATAGAGAGTAAAGAGTTTTCTATTAAAAAAAGAAATCAATCAATAAATATTTCAAGAGAGTCCCACCAATGATTTTAATGTGACGACCATGGTCCATCCGGGTCGACTTTGTGAGTGATTGCTACTTTCTCTCTGTTGCCACGTTGCTAATTGGCAAATTGCCAGATACAGCCCACCGACAAATCCATAACGTCGGTCACCAGTATATATGGACGCAAACTGAATTTCGCATTTTCAACCCCTAATGGTTTTCGGAGGAGGAAAGGACATCAATATTACTAATTTCAGGGTCAATTCCATAATAGCTTGTTTCCACATCCATTTCAGTATACTTCCATTCGAGACCTCTAGGTCACATGTTGGACCTAGAGAAGACCATCACGACCGAGAAGGGGCTGGAGACGAGCATCTCCACCCTAGAGGCCGAGAGCCTGGAGACGCGTATCTCTCTACCCTAGAGGCCAGGGGCCTAGAGAAGACCTTCACGGCTGGGGGCCTGGGGCCTGGGGACGAGCATATCCACCCCAAAGGCCGAGGGCCTGAAGAAGACAATCACGACCGAAAAGGACCTGGAGACGAGCATCTTCACCCTAGAGACCATGGGCCCGGAGACGAGTATCTCCACTCCAAGGGCCAAGAAGGCCTAAAGAAGACCGCCACGACCGAGGGCCTGGAGACGTGCATCTCCAACCCCGAAGGCTGAGGGCCTAGAGAAGACCATCATGGCCGAAAAGGGCCTGGAGACCGGAATCTCCAACTCGAGAGCCGAGAAGGCCTCAAGCGGACCACGACGGCTGAGGGCCTGGAGACGAGCATCTCCAACCCCGAAGGCTGAGGGCCTAGAGAAGACCATCATGGCCGAAAAGGGCCTGGAGACCGGAATCTCCAACCCGAGAGCCGAGAAGGCCTCAAGCGGACCACGACGGTCGAGGGCCTGGAGACGGGCATCTCCAACCCCGAAGGCCGAGGGCCTAGAGAAGTCCATCATGGTCGAAAAGGGCCTGGAGACTGGAATCTCCAACCCCGAGGGCCGAGTAGGCCTAAAGAAGATCATCACGACTGAGGGTCTGGAGACGAGCATCTCAACCCCAAAGGCCAGGGCCTAGTAAAGTGCATCACGGCCAAGGGCCTGGAGACGAGCATCTCTACTCATGCAGCATGATCAGCCCCTCAGCACCATCTTGTCATCACTAACGCCGCCACGTGCCGCCAGGCCATCATCATATTCGAAGACCCTTAACAAAACAAAATAAATAAATAAATAAATAAATAAATATAAAGAGGTGTCGGGGAATCCCCAAGAGGATAAACCCGTTCCCCACCACCATGTAGGCCTAAGCTCATCTCGGATCCAAAGGACCAAAGAATTAGGGAATCCCAAAGAGGATAAACCTGTTCTCCATCAAAGAACACTAACCAATGCGGTACGGCCTCAAAACTTAAGCTGTACGTGTGGTAGGAAGGTAGACGAATATCCTCAAGAGGACAAACCTGTTCTTCACCAAAGAACACTAACCAGTGTGGTATGGCCTCAGGGCTTAAGCTGCCGATGCGGTGGGAAGGTGGACGAACGTCCCCAAGAGGATAAACCTGTTCTCCATCTAAGAACACTAACCAGTGTGGTACAGCCTCAAGGCTTAAGCTGCCGGTGCGGTGGGAAGGTGGACGAACGAAGACCAGGGAATCCCAAAGAGGATAAACCGGTTCTCCATCAAAGAACACTAACCAGCGTGGTACGACCTCAAGGCTTAAGCTGTCGGTGTGGTGGGAAGGTGGACGAACGTCCCCAGGAATCCCAAAGAGGGCAAACCTGTTCTCCATCAAAGAACATTAATCAGTGCGGTACGGCCCCAGGGCTTAAGCTGTCGGTGCGGTGGGAAGGTGGACGAACGTCTCAAAGAGGATAAACCTAATTTCCATCTAAGAACACTAACCAGTGCGGTACGACCTCTGGGCTTAAGCTGCCGGTGCGGTGGGAAGGTGGACGAACGTCCCAAAGAGGATAAACCTGCTCTCCGTCAAAGAACACTAACCAGTGCGGTACGGCCTCAGGGCTTAAGCTGCTGGTGCGATGAGAAGGTGGACGAACATACAACCAGGGAATCCCAAAGTGGATAAACCCGTTCCTCACCACCACGTAGGCCTAGCTAAGTACGGCTCCAAGGACCTAAGCTAAAGAGCGGGTACGGCGAGCGGATGACGTAACAAAGAACTGGCGAATCCCAAAGTGGATAAACCCGTTCCTCACCACCACGTAGGCTTAGCTCAGCTCGGCTCCAAGGGCCTAAGCTAAAGAGCAGGTACGGCGAGCGGATGACGGAACAAAGAACTGGGGAATCCCAAAGTGGATAAACTTGTTCCTCACCACCACGTAGGCCTAGCTCAGCTCGGCTCCAAGGGCCTAAGCTAAAGAGCAGGTACGGTGAGCGGATGATTGAACAAAGAACAAGGGAGTCCCCAGAGACAAACAACAAAGAATACCCTTCTTCTAGATGGGGGGCGTACGTCCCCAACGGCTGCTAAGGCCCGTTCACATAGACGATCGGGTACGGAGATCCAGTGAATAACGCAAGATGCCCGGAGATCCGGAATACAACAAGCAACCATCGCGTCAGGGCGTCGGCTAAATCTAGTACGATGGAAACAATTTTACTTCTTCATGTCCCGCGCACGCTCGGAACATCAGAAGTGGGGAACTTGTGTTGGGTTAGTGGCCCAACAGGGATCAGCCCATCAACCAATTAAAAGCCCACCGGACGTCCGTTCCCTAAGCCCAAGCCTCCCGGTGAGATCCCTTGGAAACATCCCAAGGAAGAGAAGAGTGTCGTCCTCACAAGGGACGTTCGGCCCCAAGGTAGCAAACCCGAAAAGGCAGGCAGATGCAGGGGACGTACGTCCGGAGACACGTTAGTAGACACAGAGTGGCTCATCGACTTGCCAGGCGCCGAGGGTATGAGCTGGCGACGTACGTCGGATTCAATTCTACTTCCTTATGTCCCACACATGCTCAGAACATCAGAAATGGGGGACTTCTGTTAGGTTAATGGCCCAATAGGGATTGACCCATAAACCCATTAAGGTCCACCCTACGAACGTCTCCAGAGACATGAGGACAACATGGAGTGCCTCCCCCAGAACACGCGACGAACGTCTCCCATGGGCCACCAGGGCCCAATCCTATGGATAGCCGGGTGCGAGGGTCCAGGGGGATGCACGACGTTCGGTGTATGGGACTTGAGGCCAGCAGAAAACAGGAGGCAAACTCATGGGGATGAACGTCCCCACCCCTTGGCGGGAAGCCAAGGTCCCAGCAGAAAACAGGAGGCAAGCTCATGGGGACGAACGTCCCCACCCCTTGGCGGGAAGCCAAGGTCCCGCAGAAAACAGGAGGCAAGCTCATGGAGACGAATGTCCCCACCCCTTGGCGGGAAGCCAAGATCCTGGCGAGAAGCGCATTTAATGCAGAAAATTTGGTGGTTTGGGTCAAGCCATCCACAACCTGCCACATCAATGCATCCAACTACCCATTAGCAGTATAAATAGGAGGCTTTCCCTTCATATTAATGGTGGGTCTCTTCTTTCCCATTTTCTCCTCTTTCTCTCTAGGCTAGCTAAAAGACTCCATTAATGGGAGCTCAAGTGTACAATGTAATGGTGAGGAGAGCCTAATAAAATGAGAGGGCTCGAACATTAGCCTAAACAGTCCCGTGGTTTTCTCTCTTTCCGGGTTTCCACGTAAAAATAGCTTGTTTCCACATCCATTTCACTATACTTCCACTCGAGACCCCTAGGTTGCGTGTTGGGCCTATGAGTTGAAGGAATAAACCTTAACATAGTTATTATTATATAAAACAAGAAATTAAATTGATTTACTTTAATACTCCATTTGTCCCGTAAGTCCTTCTATTTTCAAACAATCACTTAAACCATTGTATTAAAAAAGTATCATATAAGTACACTTATTTTAAAAAATTAGGATGTTTTTACTTGGACTGTAATTCGTCCCAGACCAGACCAGACCAGATCAAACCAGACCAGACCAGTTCAGACCAGACCAGACCAGACTTGGATAGTTATAAAAAATACAAAGAAACCATACCAGACCAGACCAGACCAGCAAATTACAGTCCAAGTAAAAAAATCCTTAACATAATTTTAGAATTTGTGTTTCAATTTTACATACTAAAAATTTGTAATTCATCTTACATGCCTTGTAGGTCCAGATGCCTTGTAATTTATAATTCATCTTACATGCCTTAGAATTTGTAATTCATCTTACATGGTGTGAGATGTCATTCATCTTTTATGTTTAAAGAGTAATATATATACATATATATTATTATAGTTTAACTGTACAAGGCATTTAAGATGAATTACATATTTTTTCCGGCAAAAGGGTCAATTAAGTCTTTATACTATTTTCTTTCCATCACTTAAGTCTTTATATAAAAAAGCTTTTATATAAGTACTTTTACATTAAAATATAGATCAATTTGGCCATTTAATTAGTTCTTGACCTATAATAGCAAATTTTTTATACTCCCTCTATTCCTAATTTATCTTCGGAAGTACAAATGACATGACGATTAAATAGTGGGTATTGTGTGATAGAGAGTTGTGCAGAAGAGAGAAATGAGTAAGAATGTGTAAGAAATGTTGTGAGTCACAATTTTTTTGCCAAAAAGAAAAAAAAAAGATAATTTTATGACAGACGAAAAATGACAGTTTGAAGATAATATTGGGATGGAGGGAGTATTAAAAACCCTAAAAAGATTGTTAAAATTAAAAGAAATATAGATAAAGTTTGTAAAAAATTCAACCTTTTAGCGCTCTTCTTACAATAGTCTCACTTTTTGATTATTCATGAATAATCCAACCTTTGCACCCATCTTCATTCACTGGCCCCTGATCGATTTATGACCTGTTATTCCAAGTTATTTTCTTATGTTTGGAAAACATTATACCATAATTTCCACCTTATGATCACATAATGTTTTTGCAAAGATAAGAAAATAACTTGGAATAACAAGTCATAAATCGGCCAGTGACCAGTGAATGAAGATGGAATGCAAAAGTTGGATTATTTATGAATAATCAAAAGGTTGGACTATTGTAAGAAGACCGCTAAAAGGTTGGATTATTAGTTTCCATTTTCCCAAAATTCATTACGTTAAAGTCAATATTAAAAAGAAATAAAAAAGTCAATATTTTTTCTTTTAAAAACTATTTATGTATTACACATCTATTTAATTTTTTTTCCAGTTTTTATTTCATTATTTAAATTCTATTAGTTTCTATTTCCACTGCCACACTTTATTTCTTCACTTCTTTAATTTTGTTTTTTAAAATTCTATTAGTTAAAGTATTTATCTATTTTTTACATTTATTATCTATTTCTATATTTTTATTATTATAACATTATTTTTCAAATTTATATGAATTTTTATAAGATTTATAAATAGTCCTAATTTATTTTTCTAAAATAATCCAAGTCAAAATAGTTTGATTAATTATATTTTAAAATTAAGCATATTTATATGATGCTTTTTTTAGTATAAAGGTTTAAGTGATGAATTGAAAACGATAGAACTGTCTATATGATCTCTCTATTTAATTTATTAGATCTCATTCAAAGAAAAGATGCTCCCACATATTTATAGATCCACCATGTTCCCCCCAATATACCCCCTAGTATAGTAGTATATCTATCTTTCTCTTTCTAACTCTTTACATTGAAAGATACATGCAAGGTAAACCAATGTAAAAAACATTACTGCGTAAAATTTGTGGCTTGGTAAACCATAAAAGACAATATATTGGTCTAAACTCCAGATGCTTTTGCACCATTTATGCATTGATTTATAACATGCAATATATAATACTCCATATATGTGGAGCAATGATTATAAAAATAAATTACATTTGTGTAAAAGATAAATATAAAAGGAATTGAACGTACATTTCCCTTTTTGCCCATAACGGAAAGAAAAAGAATGTCACAAAAATTAGCTCTTCTTCCCCTCCTCTCCGCCCTCTTCTAAATAAGCCTTCTTCTTCCTTTCAGCCTGAGTCAACAGACAAATGGCCAGAAAACACGTGGCGTAAATCGCGTGGACCCTCCAGCTTGTTTTGGGCGGTTGCCGCAATACGGCCCGATGGAACACGGCCATATAGTAATGCAGCCCGACGGCGAAGCCCACGACTGTCTGGCCCAACCCGATTATCTTCGACGACGGCCCGGTCTCGGTTGAGAACACTAGTACAAGGTACATGAGCAGCATCAGGAGGTACAACACATAAGCGAGCGTCTGGAGGAGCTGTATGCAAATGTAGGTGGACTGCGATGTAGCGTAGAAGAACTTGAGCG